TGTTCCAGTATTCTCAGCAGATTTCACAATGTCAACAGAACAAATGAAGAAATCCTGTTCCAGTACTCTAAGCAGATTTCACGATGCCAACAGAACAGATAAGAGGAAACCATGTTCCAGTATTGTAAGCAGATTTCACGGTGTCTACAGAACAAATGAAGAAATCCTGTTCCAGTACTCTAAGCAGATTTCACGATGTCAACTGAAGAGATGAGAGGTAACTCTGTTCCAGTATTCTAAGCAGATTTCACAATGTCAACAAAAAAGATAAGAAGAAACCCTGTTCCAGTATTTTAAGCAGATTTCACGGTGTTAAAAGAACAAATAACAGCAAACCTTGTTTCATTATTCAAAGCTGATGCCAACAGAAAAGATAGGAGGAAACCCTGTTTCAGTATTCTAAGAAGATTTCATAAAATCAACAGAAATGGTAAGAAGAAGCCCTGTTCAAGTATTATAGACAGATTTCTCGATGTAAACAGAACAAATAAAAGGAAAGACTGTTCCAGTATTTTAAGCAGATTTCACGATACCAACAGAACAGACAAGAGGAAACCGTGTTCGAGTATTATAAGGAGATGTCACGACGCAAACAGTACAGATAAAAGGAAACACTGTTCTAGTATTATAAGCAGATTTCAAAATGTCAACAGAACAGATAAGTAGATACCCTGTTCCAATATTCTAAGCAGATTTCACAATGTCAACTAAACAGGTAAGTGGAAACCCTGTTCCGGTATTACAAGCAGATTCACAATGTCAACAGATCACATAAGAGGAAACCCTGTTCAAATATTCTAAACAGATTACACAATGTCAACAGAGCAGATAAGAGGAAACCCTGTTCAAATATTCTAAGCAGATTTCACGATGCCAACAATACAGATAATTTGAAACACTGTTCCAGTATTCTTAGCATATTTCACAATTTCAACAGAACATTTAAGAGGAAAGACTTTTCAAGTTTTTATAAGCAGATTTAACGATGGCAATAGAACAGATAAGAGGAAACCCTTTTCCACTATTCTAGGCAGATTTCACGATGCCAACAGAAAAGATATGAGGAAACGCAGTACAGAAAAAATATTTCTTGTTCCAGTATTAGAAGCAGATTTTCACAAAGTCCACAGTACAGTTGAGATTAAACATCGATCCAGTATCGGAAGTAGTTTTCACGGTGGCCACAGTAGATGTAGATGAAGAGAAACCAGGTTTCAGTATCAGAAGCAGATTTCAACATGTCCACAATACATGTAAGAAGAAACCTCGTTCACATATCAGAATAAGTAAGAGGAGACATTGTATCAGTATCTGGAGCAATTTTCATGATGGTCACAGTACAGATAGGAGGAAACCAGGTCTCCTATCCGAAGATTTCCCGATGTTAAATGATAAGCTAACAGGAAACCTGGATCCAGTATGAGAAGTAGATTTTACGATGTCCACAGTATAGGTAAGAATAACAACCTTTCCAGTACCAGAAGCAGATGTCACGATGTCCACAGTGCAGATAAGAGGAAACCCTGTCCCAAATCAGAAGATTTCACTATGTCCACAGAACTAGTAAAAGGAAACCTGGTTCCACTATCAGAAAAAGCTTTCAAGATGTCTACATTACAGGTAAGAGGAAATATGTTCACCGTATTAGAATCAGATTTCACGTTACACCGAGTAAACGTAAGTGGAAACCTAGGTCCCCGTATCAGAAGAAGATTTCACGGTGTCCACAGTACAGGCAAGAGGAAACCTACTTCCGCTATCAGGTAGGAGGAAACCTGGTCTCCAATCAGAATATTTCCTGATGTTCAATGAAAAGCTAAGAGGAAGGCTGGATCCAGTATAAGAAGTCGATTTACGATGTCCACAGTATAGGAAAGAATAACCACGTTTCCAGTACCGGAAGCAGATTTCACGATGTGCACAGTACGGATAAGATGATGCATGGATCAGGTATCAGAAGTAGATTTCACCATGTCCACAGTACGGATAAGATGATGCATGGATCCGGTACCAGAAGTAGATTTCACCATGTCCACAGTACGGATAAGATGATGCATGGATCCGGTATCAGAAGTAGATTTCATCATGTCCAAAGTACGGATAAGATGATGCATGGATCCGGTATCAGAAGTATATTTCACCATGTCCACAGTAAGGAAAAGATGATGCATGGATCCGGTATCAGAAGTATATTTCACCATGTCCACAGTACGGATAAGATGATGCATGGATCCGGTATCAGAAGTAGATTTCATCATGTCGACAGTACGGATAAGATGATGCATGGATCTGGTATCAGAAGTATATTTCACCATGTCCACAGTATGGAAAAGATGTTGCATGGATGCGGTATCAGAAGTAGATTTCATCCGGTCCACAGTACGGATAAGATGATGCATGGATCCGGTATCAGAAGTAGATTTCATCCTGTCCACAGCACGGATAAGATGATGCATGGATCCGGTATCAGAAGTAGATTTCACCATGTCCACAGTACGGATAAGATGATGCATGGATCCGGTATCAGAAGTAGATTTCACCATGTCCACAGCACGGATAAGATGATGCATGGATCCGGTATCAGAAGTAGATTTCACCATGTCCACAGTACGGATAAGATGATGCATGGATCCGGTATCAGAAGTAGATTTCACCATGTCGACAGTACGGATAAGATGATGCATAGATCCGGTATCAGAAGTAGATTTCACCATGTCGACAGTACGGATAAGATGATGCATGGATCCGGTATCAGAAGTAGATTTCATCCTGTCCACAGCACAGATAAGATGATGCATGGATCCGGTATCAGAAGTAGATTTCACCATGTCCAAAGTACGGATAAGATGATGCATGGATCCGGTATCAGAAGTAGATTTCACCATGTCGACAGTACGGATAAGATGATGCATGGATCCGGTATCAGAAGTAGATTTCACCATGTCGACAGTACGGATAAGATGATGCATGGATCCGGTATCAGAAGTAGATTTCATCCTGTCCACAGCACGGATAAGATGATGCATGGATCCGGTATCAGAAGTAGATTTCACCATGTCCACAGTACGGATAAGATGATGCATGGATCCGGTATCAGAAGTAGATTTCACCATGTCGACAGTACGTATAAGATGATGCATGGATCTGGTATCAGAAGTAGATTTCACCATGTCCACAGTACGGATAAGATGATGCATGGATCCGGTATCAGAAGTAGATTTCATCCTGTCCACAGCACGGATAAGATGATGCATGGATCCGGTATCAAAGTAGATTTCACCATGTCCACAGTACGGATAAGATGATGCATGGATCCGGTATCAGAAGTAGATTTCACCATGTCGACAGTACGGATAAGATGATGCATGGATCCGGTATCAGAAGTAGATTTCATCCTGTCCACAGCACGGATATGATGAAGCATGGATCCGGTATCAGAAGTAGATTTCACCATGTCCACAGTACGGATAAGATGATGCATCGATCCGGTATCAGAAGTAGATTTCACCATGTCGACAGTACGGATAAGATGATGCATGGATCCGGTATCAGAAGTAGATTTCATCCTGTCCACAGCACGGATAAGATGATGCATGGATCCGGTATCAGAAGTAGATTTCACCATGTCCACAGTACGGATAAGATGATGCATGGATCCGGTATCAGTAGATTTCACCATGTCGACAGTACGGATAAGATGATGCATGGATCCGGTATCAGAAGTAGATTTCACCATGTCGACAGTACGGATAAGATGATGCATGGATCCGGTATCAGAAGTAGATTTCATCCTGTCCACAGCACTGATAAAATGATGCATGGATCCGGTATCAGAAGTAGATTTCACCATGTCCACAGTACGGATAAGATGATGCATGGATCCGGTATCAGAAGTAGATTTCACCATGTCGACAGTACGGATAAGATGATGCATGGATCCGGTATCAGAAGTAGATTTCACCATGTCCACAGTACGGATAAGATGATGCATCGATCCGGTATCAGAAGTAGATTTCACCATGTCGACAGTACGGATAAGATGATGCATGGATCCGGTATCAGAAGTAGATTTCACCATGTCCACAGTACGGATAAGATGATGCATGGATCCGGTATCAGAAGTAGATTTCATCCTGTCCACAGCACGGATAAGATGATGCATGGATCCGGTATCAGAAGTAGATTTCACCATGTCCACAGTACGGATAAGATGATGCATGGATCCGGTATCAGAAGTAGATTTCACCATGTCGACAGTACGGATAAGATGATGCATGGATCCGGTATCAGAAGTAGATTTCATCCTGTCCACAGCACGGATATGATGAAGCATGGATCCGGTATCAGAAGTAGATTTCACCATGTCCACAGTACGGATAAGATGATGCATCGATCCGGTATCAGAAGTAGATTTCACCATGTCCACAGTACAGATAAGATTATGTATGGATCCGGTATCAGAAGTAGATTTCACCATGTCGACAGTACGGATAAGATGATGCATGGATCCGGTATCAGAAGTAGATTTCACCATGTCGACAGTACGGATAAGATGATGCATGGATCCGGTATCAGAAGTAGATTTCACCATGTCCACAGTACGGATAAGATGATGCATGGATCCGGTATCAGAAGTAGATTTCACCATGTCCGCAGTACGGATAAGATGATGCATGGATCCGGTATCAGAAGTAGATTTCACGATATCTACAATGCAGGTTACTAGAAACTAGTCACAATGTCCACACTACTGATAGAAGGAAACCTAATCCCTGTATCAGAAGCAGATTTCCTGATATCCATAGTACAGATAAAAGGTTACCTTGTCCACCTATGAGAATAAGCTTCATGGTGTCCTCATTACAGGCTAAAGAAAACTTTGTCCTATATCAGCTGCAGTACATATGAGAGGAAACCTGGTTCCAGTATCAAAAGCAGATTTCAAGATGTCCACAATATAGATAGGAGGAAGCCTGGTTCCAATATCAGAATGGGATTTCATGATGTCCACAGTACAGGTAAGAGGAAACCTTGTCCCCATATTAGAGCCAGATTTCACGATGAGGAGAGGCTCGGTACGGAGAAGAATCGAATGGGAGAGATTAGCTGTTATTCAGAAATAGCAGTTGTCATTTTTTCTCGTTCTTCGGCTTGAATCAGCGAATGAAGTTGCTGATAGATCATGTACCACCATATCTCTATGTCGATTACCTCTTTTGTTCACTAATGTTAGCTGGTTCCACAGGAGACGAGGGTCCTTTTTAAGGAATCCTTGTCCTTCTGTGAGGCCTCAGTTCTTCGTTGGTCATGCGAATATGAGTGTCTTATGGGGGGCAATATTCCCCAATTTTAGTCACATGGATTCTCCACAGCAGACGGATGTCTTCAAGTATATTCGTGATTTTGGATGTGACTTGAGGATCTGTGATGAAATCGTCCCAGTGGACATCCACAATGATAGGAAGATACTTTTGCTAGATGCGCTCCACAAAGGTTTTATGACCCAGAATCTGGTATTTCTTTTTACTCCAGAGACGTTTGTGTCATTTGACAAGATCTTTTTTCATTTTAGCCTCTCGACTATATATATATATATATATATTTCTTTTGCCCTCTCTCTTTCTCTCTTTTTCTCTCTTTCTCTTTCTATCTCTCACTCTTTCTCTTTGCCTCTCTTTGTCTCTCCCTCTTTCTCTTTGTCTCTCTTTCTCTTTCTCTTTGTCTCACTTTCTCTCTCTCTCTCTCTCTCTCTCTTTCTTTTTGTCTCTTTTTGTCTCCCTTTCTCTCTTTCTCTTTGTCTCTCACTTTCTCTTTCTCTCTTTCTATCTCTTTCTCTCTCTTTCTCTTTATCTCTTTCTCTTTGTCTATTTCTCTCTCTCTCTCTCTTTCTCTTTGCCTCTCTTTTATTCTCTTTTTCTCTCTTTCTCTTTCTATCACTCTTTCTCTTCCTTTCTCCCTTTCTCTCTCTCTCGTTTGTGCTGAAGAACATGACACATCCAAGTTAAGTGAAATTCTGGACTATTTTCAGCTTTGTCGGGCCAATGGAGAAGTCATATTGCTTTCTTCTTCTTCTTCTTCTTCTTCTTCTTCTTCTTCTTCTTCTAATTATTATTATTATTAATAATAATAACAATAATAATTTTTCTTCGTTTGTTTTGGCTGATCTATCACCAAAAAGAAATTTTGCCAATATCAGTTTCAAATAGCGTATTCAGGTTTTACAAGGTGGCCATGACAACACTTCGTGCAAATTCTATAACAATATAGCAAATTTATAATAGTAAATTATTATTGTTATTATTTTCCTACTTATTAACTAATCTAACAAGTGACTTTTCCTTCCGTCTGTAAATTTCCAAATATTGCTAAGAATTAAGATGATGTCTGAAGTGAACGGTTAAAATTGAGGGTTTCCCCTGATAGAATCAGGAGCTGAGCCTTCAAGTTGGCTCCGTCAAGTCTGCTTGTCCGAGACATGATAGGATTTTCAACATATCTGTCTGGAAGAAACTGGACAAGGAGTCACCTGCAAGTCACCTGCGCAGTGACCCTACGACCATACCCGGGTATGGGACGGATGATAGCGACGTCGAAAAAAAGGGATAAAGAAAAAAACAAAGAAAGGAATGGGAAAAAGGAAAAAAAATGATCTGCTTAAAATCCCTCCAATAAAATGGTAAGATAAAAAAAAATTAAAATTGGTCAAATTTTGAGAAGTGGGTTGGGTCGATTTCTTTTCAGCACCCCCCACATATACATATGTCAGGGTGGGAGAGGAATGTAGACACTTCAGCAAGAATAAATATATTCACAATTCTCTCTTCGCCGAATAAAAGCCTATCTACAGATCGCTAGTGCGTGGGCACCTGCCAAAAAGCGATCATACCTGTTGACATTAGTTTCGATTCTTTCCGAATGGTAATGGTATTGGTAATATTACACGTTTCCTTATAAGGAAACATTCGGCATTCAGTGACCGAGCAGCCAGTGCAACAAGAGTTATTTTTATTCATCTTTTGATCATCAGGATGGGATCAAAGTGTAGTACCTGTTCCCCCATTCTCTAATCGTAATGGTAATATTATCCATTTCCTTATAAGGAAACATTCGGCATTCATTAACGAGTAACCAGTATTGCTATCATTTATAAAACATTTTTCCTAAAGCAATTCTTCAGGAAAATGAGTTTCTCAAGTCCAGTAACTGTTATCGCTCTTTCGATGATGTCATTAACAACGTATGGATAGAAGTTGTTAATGCATTTTATATTTATGAATATGCATTTTATATTTATATTTAATAATGTTTTAATGTGAAACGTCAACAGTATGATTATGTCATAATTTTCTCTTCGAGTCCCATGTGCTATCCATTTTAGTTGTTGCTGCTGTTGGTAGTCCTCAAATGATGTGGTTTCTGTTATTTGGTAGAATTCTTTGTAAATATATTAAACGGATTGATTATTACTTTAGGAATCTTCCTCACCAGTCAAAAAAATTATCTTGTTTTTGTTTTCTGTTGTTTTTTTTTCTTTATCTTTGTTTTGTTTACCTGTACTGTGGACATCATAAAATCCCATTCTGATATTTGAACCAGGCTTCCTCTTATCTATATTGTGGACATCTTGAAATCTGCTTTTGATACTGGAACCAGATTTCCTCTCATATGTACTGCAGCTGATATAGGATGTCAAATCTTGAAGAAATTAATAAAGACCTCCTCACCCAACCACCCACAGCCGCCGCCATGTCATGTGTCAGATTGTCTTGGGTGACAATCCGAGAATGTCGAAAAATGCTGCATCGGTCAAAAAATCATAGAAGCACTTATATATTCACTTTCCGCAAGAAATTAACAAATAAATTTAAATCCTCCTTCGGTCATCTGCACTATTGATAATAAATCGTATCTGTATGACAACAGGAGATTAAACATACAATCTATTTTCATCTGATAAAAAAAAGAAACATCTGCCGAATCAATCAATAATTATAATATTCGAAATAAATTCATTTATCAAATATTTTGGATGCAGATTATTTCTAAATTAGGTAAAAACTGCCTAAGGGGTGGTGGACCAAATAGAAGGAAACTTCAAAATAAAACCTACACCCCTAACGATGATGGGCTGTAGCGTTGATTAAATGATATAGGCCAGAAACTAGTGAGAGACGATAAGGCGAACGTTCTAATACGTTTTAAGTAATGAAGCCTTTCTAAGCGCACCTGAACGTCTACAATGTGAAATGTGTTTGCCAAAGAATTACTATGGGTCTACATACAAGTAGACGAGTATGTATAGTCAGGTAAGAACACACGTTTGGCATTAAACACACTCGCTCGCACGCACGCACGCACGCACTCTTGTTCCAATACGCGTAGATGAAAGATCGCACCCCACCACCGAATTGTTTTTAAATCGATTGAATTTCGTAATCGATTTCTCTTTTCGACTTAGTAATTAATCTGCTTGTTTTTCCTTCTCATCACGAAAGGGAAAAACATATTAGCCGTGATTGTTTTTGAAACACAGAGATTTAGAAAAAGTATATATTGTATGTGTGCGTGCTTGCATATAGGCTGTGTAGTGTGTGTGAATAAGTGTTTATGTTTAGTTTAAG